TTTAGAATATTGAAAATATTACAAATTCGGAATTAGTCGAAACTCAAATTTCTATAAATTGATCAAAATTATTATTTAGTGCATATCGAATAGATAAAAAAAAACCCAAAAATAAAAAGGTATCACAAACTACGTAAACCAGCGTTTCTCAAACTTTTTTCAATAGCAACTCACTTTGGGAAATCCCATAAGCTCGTGACCCACCTACATTGAATACATACAGTGTATCTCAAAATTGATCGTACACCCTAGAAGATTTTTTTTTAAACATGGCAAATAGACGTATTTTTTAAATCGTGGCTGGTGATTGAACAGATGTTTATTGATTTATTGCTATCATTTTGGTGTTTATTAGAGGAGCCTCTAGGAAGTTAGATTTATTTTAGCAAAACGCTCGATTTTCAACTTTTTACCTAGTGGACGAGTTTAAGAAAAATTAGTGGCAAATGAATGATCCTTACTACGACTAAAAGTGTGTAAAATTTCAAGAAGTTATGATCATTTTATTTCAATAAAATAAGGTTTTTCAAGAAAAAGGCATTTTTCTTAAATTGCTCTATCTTTTTGTAAACTCAACGAAATATTCCCAATACTGAACCAAAAATTGATAAATGTATGCTGAACCAGCTGCCAAAAATTCAGAGACGTATCTATTTAACTTGTGCTTTTAGAAACGTGTTCTTAAATTTAGGTACTGCTGTACGATCAATGTTGAGATACACTGTATGTTGAATAGGCACAATGGCATTGAAAATACAAAAATGACTTTCAAACGAAAAAACAAACTGAAAAACTCTGAAACGGTCTAAAAAATACCGAACTATTTAAAAAAAATGCCAAATCAATCCAAAATCGGTGAATATATTCTGAAAACACTGAGAAAGTAACGCATGAGAAGTTTCAAAACAACAAAATAGTATTGAAAGTAAATAGCAAAGTAAAACTATGAAATAATTAAGCAAAAAATCTCAACTCTTTTCTAACCGAACAAAACATCCTCATATTTAATGATATAACAGCCCGGAAACTCAAAAAAAACCTAAAAACGTCCACATAACCCATTAATCACAACAATACCATATAAACGGTAGAGCGATGGTGGGCTAAAGCCAAGGACCCCAATTCGGAGGGGCCCCTGACTCAGAGACATCAATCATATCCTTTTCAATAATATGTTGCAAGACTCACATATACTGTCAGTTTTTTCAAAAGAATATTAGGGCAGTTAGGCCGGTAGCATAGTAAAATTCGGTAGAGCCGCGAGCATATTTTCAACAGCTCTCGTTTGTTTTAAGTTAGCCAGAACAAGAAACCAGAAGAAGATGCGTTGTACTAACTACTATGGATTAATTATGTCCGTATTTCAGACTAAACGCAAGTAGTATTGCAAGTTTTATCAAGGTATTAAAGCATTCTATTAGTCCAAATCATGGAAAACAAGGCTGTGATAAAACCAAAATTTCACTTTGGGATATTGCTTTTCCCAAATGTGGAAATAATCTTCAGGATATTTATTTCAATGGTGACCACCAACTGCTCAAGATAGACTAAAATGAGTGAACATAAATTGACGGATGCTATAAACCAGACTTAATTGGTTACTGATCATGAATCGCATGTATGATGAGCAGTGTCTGTTTTTATCATTTACCATCACGCACAAAGAGTAGCGCTTCAACCTAGTGTAGATGAACTGCGTTAGTTTTGAATATCTTCACTGTGAAGTACGAGCGAAACGAACAAATGAGCAAGCATGGGAAAAATCGTTCCATTTTGCATTCTCAACTCACTCACACGCTAACGGCGCCGGTGGTGTAGTGGTAAGCGTGATTACCTCTCACCCCAGCAGGCCTGGGTTCAATACCAGTCGGCGCCGCCGGGATGTTCTGAGGCATAACATCTCTGATCGCGCCTTCCTTCGGATGGGAAGTAAAGCCGTTGGTACCCGGTTCATGAGTTGATGGGTCGATAGGTAGGGTCCAGGTGTGGGAGCTGCCTTCCTGGCACGTCGGTAGCATTGGTGCTCAGCACGGAAAATAAGATCGACGGAAAAAACAAACCAAAGGAAAAAAAACTCACTCACACGCATCAACATCATAGACGAACAGGAGCTTGTGCGAGCCGCTCTGATTTCGTTCGTATTCGCATTGCTTCTATTTTCTTCGATAAATGCAGAATTGAGCAAAACAGACAGCTGAGCGTAACATGAATGATTCTGAGTGTAGTAGTGTGGATGATTCCTCTCTTATTATTTTTTCCATGCTGAGCCTTTTACGATTGCATTCTGCTGAGTGAGCTGAATGAGAATTTTGCAGAAAGAATCACTTTTTATTTTCTAGCTTTAAACATACATTGACACATTTAAATCGCTATTAATATCGAGAAGACTGTTATACTGTAACACATAAACATAAGCGTCATACAAAAAACTTAAAACTGCTGTGGCCAAATCAACTGATTTAAATCAGTGAGCCAAAAACTATCTGACTCGGCTATTTAAATCGTTAGCATTCGGATTTTTCGCATTCAATCTGGTTCTCCCTCGCTAGAGAAAATTGTTCGGCTGCCTTTCAGTTTATCCTTATTGGCGTTGACGGCACCGTCGAAAAATTTGCTCTTTCAGCAAATATAGACAGTTTCTTATAGGAATTTTCGGTGGAGTGAAAGGATAGTACAAAGTCCGCCATGTTTCACGCACAGTCTGACGTTTGCTTATGGATTTTCTCATAGGAGTAAAGAGCTACAGAGTCGCCGTCAACGCCAATTTCCTTCTACTGCTGTCAGTTCTGAGTCGAGCTGCAGAGTCACTTGGTAGGAAGAATTTACACTCGTTCGGCAATCTGTTTGTAGGCGAGGATGGCTATTTTGATTCTGTGGTGCTCGCGCGAGTGAATGAATTTTCCCATGCTTGCAAATGAGTTCATTATACATCAACGAATGTGCGTTTGTTGATATCCACCACTGCTTGATTATCCAACCCAAAATTGTCAAAATCAGAAGCGCTCCTCAAAAGCAAAATAATCAAATTTATTTTGGGTAAAATGATTATTTTGATAATAGTCGACTCCAGAGCCTAAAACCTCGATATTATCATCAATTAAGCATGAGGAAATAATTTTCCATCAATCTGTGTATGAAAACCAACACAACACGTTCTACAGCGCTATATTTGTGTAGTATGAAAATAATCATTTTGCATTTGATCCTCAAAATCATCCCCACCAAGATTAATATATGAATATTGACATTGACAACAAACACAGACGATAATAAGCATCGAGCCACGAATGAACAAAAAAAAAATATCGCATAACATTTGAAAAGGGCCTATCCTCGTTGATTGATTCTCTTCAACGACTTTCTCTTTGGTTTACCACAGCAACATAAACGAATTTCTCGCTAAGCTCGCAGCCTGTGCTGTAAATTCTCAAAATCAATTGAACATTTTTGATGAAAATGAGAAAAGCAGCTATCCGCTATCAAAGAGGTGACATCAGTTGCTTAGTCATTTGACGAAGGCATGGATCATTCTCCTTTGAGAAACGCTTGATATCATTCAATTGAGTGTAACCTACACATAAACGGAGCTCTGGTCGACATTCCGGCGAAAAATTTAAACCAACCGGACACCAACCTAACTTCTACAAAACCCCAACCCTATGTTGACCCGAAATAAATCCAAAATTGACCCGACAACAACACGATATTGGGTCGACATAGACTTTAAATTTTCTTTATCTGGGTTTCTACTATACTCCACTGTCGTATATCAAATGATAGTGAGTGACTCAATTGACAGTGACGATGAGCTTCGAATGAGAAAGGGGCCATGTGAGAATTCGTTTTCACAGAATTGATTCAATGGTTGTATTTGTTCATCTTCAATCGAATGACTTGAAAATTAACAGCACTGCTCGCAGCACAGTTCGACAGAAGGTGATGTTAGCTTGCGCCTGAAACAACACACTCAATGGGAAATTTATTTGCTGTCGGGTTATTTGCGAAAGAGAAAATCGATGAAGAGAATCGATCAACAATGATAGGCCCTTTTCTCGTGTTGCGCGAGTAATGTTGACTTCGATACTCATAGGTTGCCTTGATCGAGACAATATATTTATGTCAAAATTCAAATTCATGTAGGTAGTTGGTCTATCTGTTAAGGTTGTCCTGATTTTCAGCTAAGTTGAGTGTAGAAGGAATGATTTTTATCAGCACTGATGAGGAGTCTTAAACAAATTTAGTTAAAATAAAAGAAGGTTACAAAATAAATTTAAACGAAAAAGGATAGTCGCAAGTACCATTTTTTATTTCATGTGTGCTAGAATTTGAAAAATGATATCAAATCATAGGGGGCTCCGCAATAAAAAAAAATAGACCAGGGGCCCCATAGGTGGCTGGACGACCCTGAATAACAAAAACAACTTTTAAATTTCTAAATGATTTTGAAACATAAAAATATATCAGAAAGTAGGATTCCGTTAAAAGATTTATATTATTAAATTAATATTTCGATCCATCATCAATTTGCTTGAAAATTTGTTTAAAATTTTGCAAAGTTTTAATATTAAAAAATGCAATTAGCAAAACTAACCCAATTACCTATTTAAACATAAATTTCAGAAATTTTAAGATCATTCGGTCAAGTTGTCTTGATTTCTAAAACCCACCTGAGGGCAACCCATAGATTGAGAAACGCTGACGTAGACAGTTTATGAGAGAAGGAGCTGGCGAGTGTTCACGGCCCATACCAATCTTTAAACTGTTTATGTATGAACAATTGTCGGAGGGGAGGGGTTGCAATATTTCAAAAACCATCTACGTAGTTTATGGATAGCCCCTGATAGTGATAAATGTATTCGCATAAAAACATGTATGAACCACAGCCACGCATCGGTGAAATCGGTCGCTAGCTGAAAGCCATAAATATCCATCTAAACATGATTCAACCACACAGATGATTAAAAACCGAATTCCTCTCTCTCTTCCCCTATCATCCCCAGCTACTCAACGGCGGGTTCGACGCACACCCTCAACAACTACTGCGACACGTCCGACAACTGGACCGACCACGACATGGACATCTACATGGCTCGTAACCCGACAGCCCGGAACGGCGGTATGGTGCCATTATGAGAGTCACTGCTCGCGTCCCCCTACTCCTGATGCTACGACGACGTGATGTTTGACACGGCCTACGGCCATCGACCACCGCCACCGCCATTCTGACAGCGACTGCCAGCGACGGTCCAGGATCCGGCTTCGGCCGCGGAACTGGATCCCCGCCGGTGGTGGTGCCGCTGTGAAAACGAACCGGAGTATCATCCAGCTCATCAACCGCGCCGCGAGCAGCTCGTTGTTGAGCTGGAAGAGGAGGAATTGGAACCGCCGCCGGACTACGAGTCGGACGATCCGTCCCGGCCGTCGCTGGTGGTGGAATTGAGCAACACGTCGTCGTCGTCTGGTGTCTACCACCAGACCAGCAACAACAACAGCAACAACAACAACATTAACCAAGTGAGTTCTACCGTTTCCACCTTGGGAACGGGAACGGAGCCCGGTCAGGAGACCAGCTTCGTCGAGTGGGAAAACTATCGGAATCGATTAAGGGAAAACCTACAGTGCTAAGCGTGTGAGTGTGTGTGTGAGTGTGATAACCGCAACGAAGACTAGTTTTGGGTGAAATTGGATATATTCCGATTGACTCGTTTCTTGTTTTCCCCCAGAAAAATGGCACGTGCCAAACCGAATGCGACGAAAAACAAGTAACGAAAACGTATTAGAAAGAGAGAGAAAGAGAGTATATTTTTATTACAATTTTTAAATTTAGTCTAGTGTAAGCGAGGTGCGAGGAAAATTTACGAAAAACGTGAAGTGAAAGTCACCAGGGAGTTCATCATCTCATTCAGCCGTATGGGGATGTACATGTGCAATGTGTGCTATTTATCTTGATCGTTTTTCTCTTCGAAGGTAGCACCTGGGCGGCTGCGGGGATGGAAAATGGGTTGTTCAATATCTTCATAATTTTCCGAGTGTGTACGAGCGTCAGAATTCCATAACCCAACAACAGGAGAAAGAAGAAAAAAAAAATGCTGTCTGGTTTCACAACATCGTCCATTCCGGGATGATGATGAAGGGAAAAATGTGTATTTTATAGCTTTTTAGAGAAATTTTTATAGTCGTTTAGATAAAAGGAAAAAAACAACATTCGCGATGGCGAATATGTGGTGAGAGTGGGGAGAGTGCGGCGGTTGATGAATAGATGAGTGGATGCACTAGGCTGGTTTCGGGAATTTGAGTTCTAGATGTGATTTGAGTGATTCGTCATCGCCCTTCCTTGAAAGTAAAAATTATCAATATTTCCATGAAATCTTATACTCTCTATAAAGTGTTGCGATTTTTTCACATCAAGTCAATTTTAACGCTCAGAATTATTCATTAATGAACTCCCTAAGTAGAACATTTGCCACACAATTATCGTGTTGACTTTTAAGTAACTAAACTCAGGCGCACTCAAGTTGCTGCAGCTTGTTGTTACTTTGGCACAATTTATGATTAGAAAAGTAACATTTGATCATCAAGTAAGATGCAGCAACTTTGTAGTAACTGAAACTAGTTGCTGTCAAGCTACCACAACCAGTTTGCAACTTTCTAACTTTGCAGTTCATTAATTCCTGGAGGAATCACCCAAGCAAGTTTATTCCGTTCAACTTTCCGAATCAGCCTAGTGGCTTGAGTGTGAGTTTTATTTCCATAAAAAAAAATTTCAACATAAAACCATTACTCGGCAAAACCCGATCAGGCGTCAAAATATTTCATCGAGTTGCGCTGGCTGTCATATAAAATAGGAAAAAAATTATCGCAAAAAATACTCCACTTTGATCCCACCATAACCACCACCATCGAAAAACTTCAAACACATACAGCATTTTTACGGTTTTGCTCATCCGACCGGCATTTTGAAATCTACTGACAAGGGAAAAAAAAGATCCACAAATGCCACCAAATATTGACGCCGTTCACAGTTGCCGCAACTGTGGAATTATTAATTTATATGACAACAACAATAACGCAAACGACAGTCAAATTCAAATATAGAGACAGAGTAAAACATATCACACTCGATGGCGGTGAGGCAGGCGTGAAAAATTGAAACAAGCAAATTCATTGCTGCGACCCAATCCAACACAAAAGAAGGGAATTACAATTATTGACATTTATGCGGTAATAGCCCGATAAAGAGTGCACCGTTTTTTTTTTTGTTTTATCAAAATAGACACACCGAATGAACGAACAAATGAATGCAAAATCAAAAACCCATAAAGCTTGGCCGGCGCAAAATCCTGTAAATATCAATTAAAGTTAGGTAGAATGCGAAATGAACGCAGTCCCATAACGTGAATATTAAATCGCTAATAAATAAATAAACACGCGACTCGCTAGGACTGCGGTACATGATAGTAATAACAATGGCAAACAATAGATCGGGTCGTTGAAGCTGATGTTCGGTGCACCCTCGGGATTGTGCTGCGACACAATAATGGAACGTTCAATGCAAAATACATAGGACATAGGACTGGAGCGGAAAACACATGCTTTTGTCGGGACTGGAGTTTGTTGCGAAAAATGCGATTTGATTGAATTTGAATCCGCAAGCCGTTTACCGGAAATTGGTTTTTGGGGATGGAGGCGGACGGGGGTCGTATGCACTATTGCGGGCAAAGGTGTGTGCCGTATGGGGATTTCACGTTACTAAAGTGGAATCCATTCAAAACGTCAAAACTGCTGTCAAATGCAATTAAAGATATTTCAATCTGACGGATAAGTGCCCATTACGTAGAAGTCGGATGTAACTTCCTTTAGAGGTGGAATTACGGGTTTCGTTCGAATGGATCAGTTCGAAGTAGTGGATCGACAGACGAATTGAGCACATGAAGTGCTATTTAGACGATGTTTCAAAGCCGTGTAGTTTTGTCAAAATATTGGTATCACTCATCGATGGATCTGAGATTTGCTTCATTAACCTTTTCCTTCCCAGACGGTTTTTCGTTGTTTTGAGATCTGAAAATTTGTTTTGAAAAAAGCGGCAAAACAAAAGATAAAGGGTGATACGGTCAAAATTTGGTCAAGGGAAAACGCGTGTAAATCGGTGAAATCGTTTATTTAAAAAATCAAATTAAATTTCTTTTTCAAGTTCAATTAGTATAAAATTCAGAAAAAATATTCAGTTAGGCTTCCGCTTTTCCAAATCCGAATTGCCGGGCCTTACGCTTGACCCCTGCCATCAGATTTTGTACAGCCACCTTGTCCACCTTCTTCGCCGCAGAAAGCCAGTTTGCCTTGAACTGCTGCTCGCCCTTAGCAGTTTTTTTGGTCTTCTTTAGGTTCCGCTTGACAATAGCCCAGTATTTCTCAATTGGGCGGAGCTCTGGCGTGTTGGGAGGGTTCTTGTCCTTGGGAACCACCTGCACGTTGTTGGCGGCGTACCACTCCATGGCCTTTTTACCGTAATGGCAAGATGCCAAATCCGGCCAAAACAGTACGGAACAACCGTGTTTCTTCAGGAAAGGCAGCAGACGTTTATTCAAACACTCTTTCACGTAAATTTCTTGGTTGACAGTCCCGGAAGCTATGAAAATGCTGCTTTTTAAGCCACAGGTACAGATGGCTTGCCAAACCAGATATTTCTTTGCGAACTTTGACAGTTTCATGTGCTTGAAAACATCTGCTACCTTTCTCCTTCCTTTTGCCGTATAAAACTCCTGTCCCGGAAGCTGCTTGTAGTCGGCTTTGACGTAGGTTTCGTCGTCCATTACCACGCAGTTAAACTTCGTCAGCATCGTCGTGTACAGCCTCCGGGATCGCGCTTTGGCCGTCGTATTTTGTTTATCATCGCGATTTGGAGTCACTACCTTCTTGTAAGTCGATAGTCCGGCTCGTTTTTTGGCTCGATGCACGGTTGTAGACGATACACCCAGCTTATTTGCGGCATTTCGGAGAGAGAGGTTAGGGTTTCGCTTGAAACTACCGGCAACTCTCTTTGTCGTCTCAGCGGCTTCCGGTTTTCGATTTCCCCCCGATCCAGACTTCCTGGCTGTCGACAAACGTTCCCCAAACACTTTAATTACATTTGTAACGGTTGATCTGGCAACTTTTAGCGATTTTGCCAACTTTGCGTGCGAGTAGCTCGGATTTTCGCGATGCGCGAGCAAAATTTTGATACGCTGCTCTTCTTGCTTGGACGGCATTTTGACAACTGAAGAGTGAATTCCAAAATCAAAATAGGAGCAACATTCTACACACACACACCTTCAAAATGAGGGGTGTTCAGGTTTTTTAAATGCAAAATTGAAAGAAATACGTCAAGTTGATATTGACCAAATTTTGACCGTATCACCCTGTATGCCACACAGACTAAAATAATCGAATCAATTAAAAAACGCGTTTGCTTAAAATCAACAGTATTTTAATTGTTTTTCAATGGAGGATGTCGACTCAATGATGAAACATAAATTCCCTGATATTAACAAAAGTTCGAAGGGAAAATCAAGAGCCACATGTGAAAAGGGCATACAAGCTTTTTGTAAACAAACCTTTGTAGGCCCTTTTCTCACCAACCGAGAGTTGCTCACGCAAACCAACAACATCATCGGGAAGCGTAAAGATTCCCCTACCCGATTATGATAATGGTTTGCGTTGGTGTCATATGGGTGGCGAGAAAAGGGCATTAAGAAGGTTTGTTTACAAAAAGCTTGTATGCCCCTTTCACATGTTGTTCTTGAAATAGGTCGAATTGACCTTAGATAGACAATATGTCGAATGGATAAAAGGATTTTTTTTATTAATTGATTTATTTGTACAGGCTCAATCGAATAAACTTTACAGATCCAAGTTAACATTTTCGTTATACATGGACAAAAGGTTGAAGTGGCAAAAAGGTTGAAATGGACAAAAGGTCAAAATGAACAAATTGTTGGAGGATAAAATGGGGACAAATGATCGAAGAACAAAAAGTCGAAAGGACAAAAGGTCGATGGGACACAAGGTTGAATTGAACTTAGATAGACAAAAGGTCGACATAAGTTCAAAAAACCAACATCAAAATCGACAGAATATTGTTGAGATAATTTTCACTCAGAGTTACAAAGGAATTTAAAAACATATTATGCACATACTCTCGAAGAACTACTCGTGATTTAAAGAAGGGATATATTCTAGACAAAGGCAGTTATTTGCAGTCATGAGCAGGCATGGAAAATCATTTACATTCATTTCATACATTCATTTACATTCATTTGCCTCTAACTTTTTTCATCAACAACATTCCGCAAAATTATGTATGAAGCTTTTGTAGGTTTTGATATTAACCACAACTTTGGATAAAAACTCAAATCTGTATGTTATTTGCAAAATTATGTATATTTAGAGCTTTTGTAGCTACAACGTTTGCTCATAACTCAAATCTGTATCTCTTATGCATCACGAACTAGAGCGAGCAGAACTTGTTACTGTTTTTCAGTGAATGTAAAATACATTCACTGAAAAACAGTAGTGGCTTCTGTTCGCTTTGGTTCGTCATGCATCAGAGATATGGATTTGACTTGTTAACAAAAGTTCCATGCCTGGTCATGAGACATCATTTACATACATTTCGTGCATTCATTTACATTCATTAGCCTCTATCTTTTTTCATCAACAGAATTTCGTAAAATAATGTATGAAGCTTTTGTAGGTTTTGATATTAACCACAACTTTGGATAAAAACTCAAATCTGTATATCTTATGCATGATGAAGCAGAGCGAACAGAACCCACATTTGATTTTCAGTGATTGTAAATTACATTCACTGAAAACAATAACAAGTTCTGCTCACTCTAGTTCGTCATGTATAAGAGATACAGATTTGAAATACTGATAATCAAAACCTACAAAAGCTTCATATCATCATTTTACGGAATTCTGTTGATGATAAAAGTTTTCCCGAACGCCATTTTCCCGAAAGCCTTTGTGTTGCTGACTTTCTGGGGAGGGCAGTCTTCCCAACCTACCACCTCTGGCTACGCCTATGTGTCCCTTAGACCTTTTGCCATAGGAAAAAAACGCGAGGAAAGTTACTTTCGACTTTTTTTCCTTTTAGACCTTTGATTTGCACAAATCCGGAATCGATTTTCACAAGTCAACCCAAATTTTGGTTTGGGTTTTGGAAGCTGATCATTTTTAATTTTTCAATTTTTTATGCCCGGATTTTTTTTTACAAATCCTGGATCTTAAATTGATATGTGTTAAGTGATTTTTCAAACCCCCACAATACCAAAAGTCACATTATAAATATACTAGCTGAGTGTGCCCGGCCTTGCTCGGGATTCAATATTAGCTTGAGTTTATGCCCCAATTAATAAAAAGCATGCTATATTGTACGTAGCCTCCCCCTCTTATCTAAGGGGCTACCCCCTATGACCTCCACATGCGAAATTTGGTTCCATTTGCTTGATTAGTTCTCGAGTTATGCAGAAATTTCTGTTTCATTTGTATGGGAGCCCCCTTTTATAGAGAGGGGAAGGGTCTCGAAACATCATAAGAACCTTTTCCTGCCCTAAAAACTCCTGCATACAAATTTTCACGCCGATCGGTTCAGTAGTTTCCGAGTCTATAAGGGTCAGACATACAGACAGACAGAAATTCATTTTTATATATATATATAGGGCAAATTATGGCTTCGGCACCCATTGACTGTTTTTGTCAACCGAAATTGAAACGTTTATTTCACTGTATTTTCCCATCAAAACTCTTCGCTGAATGTATTAAGCCGATTCCTTACCTTTTCAGCTTAAATCTGATTACATTTTTACGACTGTGAATATCTGTTATACCATATTTTTCTTTAAATGAAATATACATACTACAAAATACGGCTGATTTCGAGTTGCCGATAATAGAACAGCTGGTTAACACGCAGTTCAAATGGAAAGGGTGCCGAAGAAAAAGAGACTGCCGACAATAGTCACTCTCACCTGAGAAGTTTGGAGCGTTGTAAAAACATGTTCAACCCGTTTTGATCAATTCTGTCGATTGGAATTGGTAGAATAGCAAGCAGCAGATAAATGTCAACAAACAAACCTGTCATGTATGTGTGTGACGCTGAGAAATCGCTAATAGAAGTTCGGACGCTGCTTAGATTGACGAGAATACGTAAATTCCCCTAGATATACATTATACATAGATTAGTTTAGAATCTTGCAAATATTTCTTAGTCTAGAACCTCTGGAATCATGATATTTTTTCGAAGTTCAGGACCATAAAAAATGGAAAATTGAGGATATTGAGCATTGTTCTTAATTGGATATTGAATGAGATATTGAAATTTGATATAGGTTCGAAAATCTTTTAAATTGTTCCGTGTTCGAGATGTTGTATTGACTAAAATTTGTTTAATATTTCAAAGCACGTGATTTTGTTTTTTTTAAATATGGGATCTTGATTTGAAAGTATGTTTTACTTTTACTAATAGATTTTTCATATCCCACGATCTTAATCTGATTCCAAGTCCAAGAACCGATAAATTCCAAATGACCCGCAACCTTGGTTTTTGCGTTAAGACTGGGGTCTTAAACAAAATTAAATTAAAAATTACAAAAAATGTCAAAAGTTTGAAACTTTGCAAATCTTTCTGGTTTAGAATATTAACAATTTTAATAGATTCGGAATCCGTCAAAACCTTGAGTTAAAAAAAAAGCTAAGTCTGCAATCCTTCCAATTTTCCCAAGTATTAGATCTAGTGCAGACAGTTCCAAAGGAAAACAAAAGACCGAAACCTTGACTCTAAAATACGTCCCAGAAATTGAAGAAATGGTTCAAGTCTTGCATCTCTATAAAATGTGTCTTGCCCAAAGAACTTTTCCCTGGATTTAATTTTTTCAAGTCTAGTCCTTCTTTAAAAAAAATCCTTGTTTCACTAAACTAATATAATTATAGTTTGTAATTCAGGAATTTAAGGGTTCAGAAATATTTCCCTGAATTCCATAAAAATTCCCTGAGATTCCAGGTCAAAAATTGAATTCCCAGAGATTTTCCAGGTTTTTTTTTCAGA